TTTGTAATGAAGTAAACTTCCTTAGAAGGCTGACTTCATTTTTGCATGGTGTACAACAGATCAGTGTTAGATTGTTGGAGAGAGTAGCAAACACAGCACATGTTCTCCAGGCTCTCCTGACTTGGGCTCCTGTGGCTTTTCCAAGCAGCTCACTCAAACTCCTTTATTTTGTAGATGAAGGAAAAGTGGAAGAGTATAATTGGCACCAGCAGTACTTTATGTCTCCTGTGGTGGTGATAAGGTGACCCTTCTCAAAACACCTGCTGTATCAATCCCGTGTGTTTCAGGAAAGGAGGAGCTTTTTGGGTTCAGTGACTCGGGGCATCAGCTTGTAGACTGTGCTGCAGGCAGTCCAGCCAGTCCTTCCGTGCTTGTGCCTGGCTCTGTCGTTTCAACATGGGTCAGTGCAGAGCAGGATTTTGAAACATTGCACCAGCTTTCAGGGGTGCTAATGTTATAGTAGGTAGGATTCTCCTCTTAAGTAGACAGGGTGCTAAAGTGGATGTCTTCGGAGTATGGTGTGTATCAAACTGGTTATGCAGTAACCTTGGAACTAGGTGCTTTAGCTGTCTTGAACCCAGAAGCCTGCGCACAGCTCTTACTTCAGAGCAGTATTTGGGCATCCAGGATTGACTCTCAGGATGGCTTAAATACTCACTCCTGCACCTTGGTAAGTGTATGAAGTTGTTTTTTTCAAGGAAAAGATACTCAGAGCTGCCCTGGTAACACCTGACTGTAAACTCGGGTTCTGCTTTGCCTGTGTTTTATATCGTGATCCTTGACAAAACTCTTACTTGGCGCAGGAGTCGGTAGGTCCTTAGTGACTTACAGGCAGCTATGTCCCAGCCATGGCTGAGCTTTGTCAGGTTTTTAACCAGCCAGCAGCTGGAGCCTGGGGCTGGCTGCGGTGTTGTTCTGCAGCTGTTTTCCTCTGCCCCGGTGCTGTAAGGCAGCAGAAGTGGCTCCCGTGGCCCAGCCTGCCAGAGGGTGCTCTGGATGTGGCAGGGCTCTGCTGCCTTCCCCTGGGGAGGTTCAGCACCCAAGGGCTGGGTACACTCTCTTAGGTGGTTCCTAAGCATGTAGGAGGCATTAGGAGAGTGTGCCTTAATTTCTGTTGTGGTCTACAGCTGTCACTGTACCGCTTTTAAGCTGATCTAATGAAGGCCCTTGGAGCAATGACTGGGGCCCTGTTAAAAAATAATCTCTTGTCCACAGCACCATGTCCTTCCATACAGAACTAAACTGAGTTACCTGGCAAGTGGAGAGGAAGGGGAGTTAAAAGGCTGCCAGGTGAGACTTCAGCCTTCCTCTGAAGGCAAGGATGAAGTTTCACATCAGTAAAACTAGACATGGAAGACTTTCTTACCCACTTAAGCATGGTTTTCTTTTGCATCCTTTGGCCCTGGTGGTGTTTCTCACTGAAGTCACATGCTGTGCTGTGGGAAGGGGGGTTTTTGTTAAAAAAAATTCAGCCAAAGGTGCTCTGCAATGCATGAGTCTGAGAAACACCGATGTTTGCTTAAGAGGCCTTCCTAGCAATGCTGACAGACATTTATGGGTACAAAGACTATGTCACCACCTTATGAATTACACAAGAGTATTCAGATTTTCTTTATAATGTTGGGTTGTTTCTTTTTGCCTTTTAGTCAAAATCCCTTTCTAGTGGCTGCATTTGGAGCTTGCTCTCTTACGAGGCAGTCAAACCACCAAGCCTTTCAAAAATTCGGACGTTCAATGACTGCCTCTGACATGGTTTCAGAAGTTGGAACAGCTTTTAACAAACTTTTTGAAACCTGAAGCCAAAGCAGCAGAGAAGACGGAAAGGAAGAACAATGACTGCAAGAGTAATTACATTTACTGTAGAATTTACATAAGTAATGCACCCTTTCAAGTGCTGTAGCAGCATTGGTATGCTAGGTAGATTTTTTTTTTTTTTTTAAGAATAGAAAAATATGATTAATGTAGATATTTTTTAAGAGTTTGGAATACAAAAATGTTTTGGCTGAAATAAGCTGTAGTTGCAGATCTGTTATAATATAATAAAACTAAACTGAAAGTATTCCTCTGTTCTTTTTGATAGTTATTGAGCAATAACTAAAGTGTGAACAGCAAAAAAAAAAAATGCACTTGATACTTAGATACAATTCTTCCACCAGCTCAACTGAATTTCTTGGATTGCACCAAGGTTGTCATGTTTTCATTCTTAGACCTTCTGTCTAGAATTAGCTATTGCACTTCATTTTTTGCCATGCTAGTATATTAAGAAGCAAAAATTAAGCCTCTTTGGAAAGGGAATGCATGAGAGTTGCTGTAGATTTTGAATGTAATTAGTTGCCTTTTTCCATTCCCGGTCCCAGAGGCAACCGTTCATTTTGACAAGACACCCCTTCCTGCGGCGTCTTGGGTTTTGGCTTTTCAGAGGTTCCCCCATCGCAGAATAAGGATATTCTGTAGGTATCTTAGCATTAAACAGCAATTATGCTTACTTGAAAAACAATTATTTTCTATTCCTTTAGCTGGCCTTGACTCACCTAGAACTCGATATGAACTTACTTTGTGAAATTACCATTTGGAGAGGTACTGGGCAGGGTGAGAAACTTTGTGATACCCAACTGAACTGGTCAGACTCAGTGATTTCTTACAGAAGAGTGAAGTGCTTTTGGAACTCAAACTGCCTGCTGAGCGAGAGCTCCGAGGAGATCAGCATAGGTCGCGAGCTGTTAGCCGGCAGGAATTGGAGCTGCAGGCAGCCAGCAGCACGTACCGGTACCCTCTTGGTGCCACGCAGGCAGCCGCATGCCGCAAGCCAAAGGCAGGAATAGAAAAATGGTGGTTGGTGTCTGAGCTCTGAGTGCAGCACCTGGGTTTTGGGGCTTTTTGCTTGATCCTGTGCAAGACAGATGGGACTTCTTCTGGTAGGGCCATACCTTTCTGGCTCGTTGGCAGGGCAGATGAGCATTGGCTATAAAGGGGAAGTTGTGTGCTATTTTGCACAGTATCATTTCTTAAACCTTTGGAAATTCAGCCCAAGGTTGTAGGGATTGAACCAATATGGAAGGAGGTATAAGTTCATGCAAAGGACATTCAGTAAGTGGGTACTGCCCTTGAACCTACAATCTAGCTCCAAGTGTATATACTCATTAAAGCACAGGAACAAGCATATAATGTATCTAGTTATTGCAATAGGTGTTCTATATTCACTGCAGCCACTTTTTTCCCAGTGATCTAGCTCTAGCTTGGAGTACGGTGTCATGCATACCAGTCAGATTGCATTCTCGTACTTTGCAATAGCTGCCCACAGAAAGCACCTGGAATCAGAAAGGCTGCTCTGAGGATTTCCTTTCAGCTCTTATAGTTCATATTTCTGGATGCACTGTGACTACTACCTCACCCCGATGCATTTTTGTTTTTTCTTTTTAAACCAGTTGCCTATTTTTAAAATAGGTTTTTAAATGTTTGCTCATTTTGGTCTATGAGGGTTCAGAGACTTTTTAGATTAGAGCAATGTCTACTCATAAGAGATGGGTTGTTGGTGTTTAATTTAAGCTGTTTTGTAAACTGTCTACATCTCGGGGGAAACTAAGCTCCTATTGTTTTCCCCCCTAAAACTATTTGAGAAGCCTGACTCCTTTTAAATAAAATAAGAAAGTTAAAACTGATTTGGATTTCCTTTAAAATGAGCAATTTTTTTTTTATTATTTAGAACATCAGCGAATTAGAATCTAAATGGCATTCGTAGGCGAAGTCGATCAATTAACAGAGCTCAGTACAGATTTCAACCTGCCATGTTGGTTTTAAATCTAAGCAGAAGTTGTACCTCTGTTATTCACTAATGTATACAAATTGTTACAATTTTTAAACATTCTGGAAATGTAGCAGTTTCTTTTGGTAGGAAATAAAAATAATAGCAAATTAATTGTGTGTACTTTGTTTGGTGTGTTCTGATCACCTGTCCCACAGAAGCAGAGTTGACTGTTTGCCCTCCATTCTAGTTTACTAGAGCAGTACAGGCACTAGCAACTGTGAAGTACCAACAGTATCAAATAAGGATCTGCCAAAATGCTAACGAAGCCCTCCCCCAGCTTCTCTAGGGGTACTGGCACCCAGAAAGGGAGCAGAAAAACAGCTACACCTTTTATTCTCGGCAATATAAAAGAAAGCTTTTATCCTTTTGAACAGATGATGTGTGTGAATTGTATATGAAGCCATGCTCTTATTGTTACTTTTTCATAAATTTAAAGCAAGCATGCCCTATAGCCTGCTATAACCTCAGCCACTAGAATACCTCATATGAGGCAGTCCTCTCTACATCTACCTCGAGCCACACCATCCAAGGGACTTGGTTTTTTTTTTTAAACAGAAACATGGCAAAAGAAAAAAGGTAACTGAACAGGTAATAACTAAACATACTGATTATATCTTTCCAAAGCTGATGGAGAGATCCTGAGTGTGCTGTACACCCCATGCCAGGGAAATCTTCACGTATTTGGTACAAAAGCAAACTGAAAAGATACCAAGCCCTGCAGAGAACTGGCTACTATCATGTTATGGTTAAGGGTTGCACAGGACCAAACCAGCAACCCCGCAATAAGGCTAAAAGTGTCACTTCTTTCTATGTCTGAAACGCCAAGTGTTTTCACCCTCTGAGAGAGGCCCAAGTTCTTGCCTCTGTCTTCGCTATGTTTTAATTCTCCGTGCCAGCTCAGCAATGCAGTGCGCAAGCGTTGATCAGACGGCACACAGGGCTGCAGCACTTCCCACAGTGGAAGATGCTGAGGCTTGGGCCAGACAACACACCCACTCTCTGCTGCAGCACCTGCGCTGCGTACGCACCTGTCGCTACTCCTGCATGTATTTACTTAGTAGTAGTGTCACCAGTTTTGCACAGTTGATTATATCTTTCTTAGCCATTCTGTTCCAAAGATTTTATTTGGAAAGTATTAGTATTTACAACTGTTCCCAAAGCGGCTGAAATAAAAAACAAGTCCAAGGATGAAGGATCAGCTTTTTTTCTCAGTCGACTGCTCCGCTTGCCCTCCTTCTACAATTTCCCAGGTTGAAACAGCAGCTCTGTCCTGTAAGAAGGAGGAAGGGGGTCAGTCCCAATGGTCTGCGGCACACAGGTATCCTACGCATGTAGGTGTTTTGGAGGCACAGGTTTTTAACCAAGCTTCATACAGCAAAGCTAGTAATGAAGGTAGGTAAAAGCAGAGGCAATACCCCCTCACAGGAATG